TTGGATAAAAATATGAGTGTTAGTAACCATTTGTTCCTTATAACTAATTTAGGTTTTAAGGTATAACTAATTTAGGTTTTAGGTAGCAAATTTTAATATTATTATTAGTTAGAGCATTATTTAAGTATATGCCTCACAAGAATCATGATAAAGATTAATTTTGAAATGGCACATTTTAAAGAGATTTACTATATTTATTACTAAAGAGATATAAGCATGTTACTATTTTAGGAGAGAGAATGCAATTAAAATGTAGACTTAAGATATCATTACAATTTAAAGCTAGGATTTTGTTTTGCATTCTATTTATCTTGCACATATTGTTGCGTTTTTTTATTCTTCTGCCACCAGTTGTTATGTTATTTTCTTCCTTCACGTTCGTACAGGGTTTGTGTGGATTTGGAGTGAATAACAACAACACTTGATGAAGTATCAAAACACAATTTATTGGCTGGTATTAATCAAGAAAGCTTCAAAATCTCGTTTACAGTTGTCAAACTGTGTCAGCAACACAGCTTTCAGGTTACAAAGCTATCACGGTGGAGACAGCTTCACTGCAAAGCACCAGAGTCAAGCTCTCGACTCTGCTTGGTCGTTCTCGGAACTCCACGTACTCTCGAGACTTTCCATGCTACAACTTGCGATGCACTCGAGGACACACAGAGCACAGCTCCTGACTCTTCGGTTCAGTTGTTCCCGGAGCTCAACACGCTCTCTCGCCGATGCACTAACCGTGATACACTACGAGACTCCTTCGGTGCACTCGACGACCCACTCGGCACTCACTGCCCGGCTGTCAACTTGATCGACTCCACAGGGATTGACTCGCTAGACGAGACACCAACTGAATACTAACTAACTCGCCCTCTAGACGAGGCACTCCATCTGAGACACTAGCTGACTGACTGCAGACCAGCAGGGTTTATATAGCTTTTGGCTTGTGTTTAAGAACATTCTGTGCTAAACCGGTAAGAATTCATTCCAGAAGGTTCTCCATTAGTCCATGGCATATCGCCAATTCTGTCGCAAAATGGCTGATTTCTCACCAAATGTGGCAACTCTGCATTCCCTTGTCATTTTATGGCAACCCTAAAACTGCTTTGGGGGTAAGCCATCTCACTGCGCCTTGAGATTTCGTAACACTGCCCCATCCCAAGGACTGCACGTCCAGGGCAGTACAACCCTTGGTCAGAAGCATAATTTGATACAAACAAAAGGTTCTAAAACAAATAAATAACATAACTAAAGAAGCAAATATTTACACTATATACAAGTTAGATACACAAATTAAACACATCACAATTTTAAAAGAAACAAATATTTACACTATGTTCAAGTTATATATACAAATTAAACACATCACAATTTTAAATTATATAATTAAAGTTCAGAATGAATTGCAGTCTCCGTCTATGTAAAATATACCCGGGTCAAATACTTTTCCACTGCAGTTCTCAGATGCATTTTTATTTTACATATCACAGTATGAAGATTGGGTCCGTTGAGACTTTTCATCCACAGAAAGATCTGAAACAATTGGTTCAGCACTCTGTAGTTCATTCTCAGCAGACATACAGTTCACTTCAGTATTTTCAGCAGCTGGTGCATGTTCATTTTCCAGTGTTTCCTGGAAACCAGCTCCAAATTCTGCATCAGAATCGTGAACGGAGCGCGATACTTTACAAACGTAAGTATCCTGGTTTAGAATCAAAATCAAGTCCTTGTCTGCAAAATCTGCACTGTGAGACGCACACATAGTTTGTTAGGTAGGTGAATTTTCTTGCAATACTGGAGCACACTGCTTCAGCTGTACATTAGCTTCTTCATTCTCAGCATCACGTGAACTTTCAGATGGTTCAACACTTGCTGACTGCGTTTTCATAACTTCACTATCAATTTCCAAGAACCTAACAGTCGCATTTTCACTTTCTTCCATTTCAGGTACTTGAGAATCAAAAGCTTCTTTCCCATCCTTCATTTCTTCATCGTTTCGATCTCTGTCTTTAATCTCGTTAGATATTTCATCCTTCATTTCTGGATCTTTCTCAGATAGTTCATTAGCTGCTTCCTTCACTTCTTCATCCTTTGATTCTTCAACTGCCACTTCTTTCATTTCCACATCGCCTTTTATGCCTCCAATATCTTCTGTAAACTCCACTTTCACCTGTTGGAGTAGCTCTCGCAACTTTTCTTAGCCGACATTTATTTATTTTCACCAGGGTTTCTTATCTTCCAGTTCCACTTTCATCTCTTTGAGTGCGGCTTTGATCTCAGCTGTCATCTCTTTATATCCAGATTTTATCTCAGCATATCCGGCTTTCATCTCTTCTCGCCAGGCTTTGATCTTGGCAAAGAAGTTCATCAAAGTCTTCATTTCCTCCGCCATGGCTTTCCTCTGTGGGTGGGTCACTGGCATTCACTCGCAAATCCCACTTCTGACACCAGTTTTTGCAATTTTTTATTCTCCTGCCACCAGTTGTTACGTTATTTTCTTCCTTCACGTTCGTACGGGGTTTGTGTGGATTTGGAGTGAATAATGACGACACTTGATGAAGTATCAAAACACACTTTATTGGCCAGTATTAATCAGGACAGCTCCAAAATCTCATTTACAGTCGTCGAACTATTATAAACACGCTGACACGATCAGCAACACAGCTTTCAGGTTACCAAGCTATCACGGTGGAAACAGCTTCACTGCAAAGCACCAGAGTCAAGCTCCCGACTCTGCTTGGTCGTTCTAGGAACTCCACATACTCTCGAGACTCTCCACGCTACAACTCGCGATGCACTCGAGGACACACCGAGCGCAGCTCCTGACTCTTTGGTTGAGTCGTTTTCAGAGCTCAATACGCTCTCTCGACGATGCACTAACCACGATAGAGCACTAACCGCGATGAGACTGTTTCAGTGCACTCGACGACCCACTCAGCACTAGATTGACTCCACAGGGATTGACTCGCTAGACGAGACACCAACTCAGTACTAACTAACTCGCCCTCTAGACGAGGCACTCCCTTTGAGACACTAATTGACTGACTGCGGACCAGCAGGGTTTATATAGCTTTCGGCTTGTGTTCGAGAACATTCTGGGCTAAACCAGTAAGAATTCATTCCAGAAGGTTCTCCATCTGTCCATGGCATAGCGCCAATTTTGTCGCCAAATGTAGCAACCCTGCCTTCTCTTAACATTTTATGGCAACCCTAAAACCGCTTTGCGGAGCCGTCTCACCGTGCCTTGACATTTAATATATTTTATTAAAAAGTTTTTATGAAAAACTCTATACAAATGAAAAGTGTCTTCATATTTAGGAATATTAAAATGCATCTTCAAAAAGAAAGAATTTGTATATAAACTGTGAAGTACGTATGTATAAAAAGTTTATCAGAAAATCTTCATCATTTGATGAATTGGGTTCTAATGAAATTCTGTATATATACAACTTTTCCTCCACCCCCCTGAGAAATTTAAATTTAAAAAAATTGTCTGTATAAAATGTTGGATTGCTGTAAAATTAGACATGCAGTTCTTCAAATGGGTAATTAATCATAACATTTGTAATAGAACTGGACTATGGGTCTTGCTACTTGAGACTGTATCAGTGCTACCTCCGTTTTTTTATTAAAAAATTCCAGAGGCCATTTTTATGTAGTTTATGTGCATCTTGTTTAATTTGTTAAGACTCATTAACTGCTAGACATGGTTGTACAGTGTGCAATGGAAGACATTTTGCCAAGTTTGCAGTCTTCTAGTGGACACTTATCACTGTACAGAAAGAAGGATCATGAGCATTTTGAAGAATTGACTGTCATCTAGCCTGTCACAGTTTAGCTGTTTCAAAGTATCAGAACCAATACTTATATAATAGCATAGTGAATAAGCTTTGGATAACCCATATGTACAATCAATAAAGAAGATTATGCGATCCATGAAGCATGAGCAATTTTTAACTGTTTTGTGTTCCACCATCTTCATAAAATCCTGTTTCTGGCCAATTATTTGCAACTGGTTAGCAGATAAACGATTGGTGTCCCAATACTCAATATGCATTCTTCCATCGAACATTTCCAGGATGTTCTCCATCAAAATTAAGGTGGATTGCAATGGAATTACACCTGTACAACAAATGGTAAATCTCTGGTGTCCCACCTCACTTCTACTTCTACCTGGTATGATAATCTGGGAAGATAACATGTACATTTCATCAGATGTATTGATGATATAAGAAATACCAGTGATATGTACAGGACATCCTGTGGCTACATGTGTTGCCTTTATAGCAGAACTTCCAGAAGTAATTTTTCAAGAAGAAGAATACTCATCCATACACAGTAGAGTTTTTCATGAATGTTTTTGCCAGTTTGATGCATTACTTTGCCTTAGCAACTTGCTTGATTTATCATTGATTATGTAACAAGTAGAGATATCATTGTAGCAACCTATGAATGTGCAAAATATAATAACCCAATTATAACTTCTGTAGGCAAATATGCCTCAGAATACTATTCAGATCTTGTATGCTTTCAGTGCTCAAATATATGAGAAAGGTACATAGGGCATCCTTCATTATCCTTTTGCTTTAATGTTATAATCATTTAAATATATCTGCATTACATTCACCCATACAAAATTTTATGATTCCAACCTTTTTTTTTTTTTTTGTGTGTGTGTGTGTGTCCTTTGGCTTTGTAATGATTGGCATATTAATCTTAACTATCTTGTTCCAGCACCACTTCTCAAAAAGATAACAGCATTGTCACATTTTCCATTTCCTTTGAGTTAAATTATCCATTATTTTATTTCATTTTGTGCTGTTAGTAATACACGTGAAAATTGATACTCCTTTTAACATTTAAATTGATGTTGAAAATGTCACTTTAAATGTATTTCCTTTTCCATGTTAATAATATTTTAAATTTGGTGGAAAGTCCTATTAATATAAAAAAGTAAAATACTTTCTGCATGTTGATAAAGTAAAATGCTTTGCTAATATTGATAGGTATGGAATGTTTTACACTACAATTATCACAGACTGCCGATATTATTTGCCTTGGATGAAGTCTAAGTAAGTCTACATTGATTTTTTTTAATGTGTGCATGTTGTGTGTAAAGTGTATTTACTGATGCTATTCATGTAGTGTCTGTTTTTAAATGAATAAATATGCATTCATTTTATTTAATACATTTCCTTAGTTCAAAATATTAATAAATGGCAATTTCAATATAACTGTAATTTAATATACAGTATAAAATCATTTCTGAATTCTCTGAAGCATTAGAGAAATTTCAAATTATTTTTCCTGTGCTTGCTTTTTATTGCTAGATTCTTTAGTTCAAAGCCATTGCTTAGTGCTGCCATTCCACTCATTTTTTAATAGTGACATAGTTAATAAAATGCTTGTGACTTTATGATGCAGTGGTTTGGATATATTACAATTATTTCTATATTAAATTTGGAGTTAAAAATCATTGCAGTTTAATTTACAGTTTGTGATATTTTATTAAAACTTTGTCAAAGCATGATCTCAAAGCTGAGAGAACAAATTACAAATCATTTTAAGGATGTAATAGTCATTAATTTGTTTAAATTTTATTATTTTCATTGTTAAAAAAAACTGACCTACACAAGTGCAATGTTCAGAACAGAAGAAAAGTTTAAAAATTCATATTTAAATATTAAAACTTTTGTGATTTTTCATGGGACTTTGTGACATTTCAATTGGAAATCAAATGATCAAATAGTTAGTACTTTCTAAGTATTTATGAGGGAAATTAGATTATGAGTTCTTTTCTCTTTTTCAAATGTGCTTCAAAAAATGATTTCCCGTATTGAACTTTTAACTAAATTAAAATTCAATGCAACGGAATATTTGCACAATTATATATATATATCTGTTTGATACTGTAATGGTCATTCAAATTTGAGGTAAAAAAATGAAGAAAAGTTCTTCATACCTGAATGTGTAATATTTTTTCAGCTCCTTAATAAAATTTTATTGTTATAGTTAATTAGAAAATAACTAATTTATTTAGAATATTTAGGTATTTCAGTTCCGTTATTTTAAAAAAAAAATTATTAGTTTTAAGATGTGAAATGATGAAACGGTAAAATTTTTTTCTTCCCATATATCCTATTTAAAGCATTATCAGACTAAAACAGCAATATCTTTTTTTTTTATTCGGAAAGGTTTAATATACACTTCTGAATAATATTTCCACTGATGATAAAAATGCAGCAGTTTGGTTGATCAAGGATTATTGAGTAAACATTATTTGTGGAGAAAGTAATTGGGCTAGTTTAAGCTGAATTTATTAATGTAAGATGATTCTCTCTATATAAATATTTAAGGATTTTTTTAACTTAATAACAAAATAGTTAAAAAGTCTCATTTACTTTATTATTTTCAATTTCTTAGTAATTTTTATGTATGTTCTCTTTTCACAAAAAAAAAAAAAAAAAAAAAAAAAAAAAAAAAAAAATGTTAATGATATTTTTATAACTAAGAATACTTTAATAAATTTCATGTCTGGTTACTTGTCATTCAATAAGTTAAATTATAACTTATTGAAAAAATCAGTTGTATAGCTCTCTAATTAAAAATATGTATAATCTAAATGTCATTATGCTTGTATGACTATTAAATAGTTTAATAGTTAAATGAATAGTTTATAAAGCAAAAATCATACCGATATTGGAGATGGCAGATTGTAATGATGTCTAAAAAAATGAAAATTAAAAATGTAAATTTGGTTTCCTAATTATTTAATAAACTATTTCAGCTGTTAATATTTGATGAAAAAAGGTTTTAGAAGGGGATTTGAATAAAAAATATTCTGAGACAATTTCTTGTGATATAGTATAGTTTATAGTAAAATTTTAAGTCATAGTACTGCCTGTTATTAAAATCACTTCCATTCCAAACTTATTAGAGTTTATTAAGTGGCTGAGTTAATAACTGGCAATTTCAGTATTCCAAATTATGGTATCGACTTTGAATGTACTTAATAAGATAGTGATTAAGAGTTAATCTAATAATTAATATCTAAATTATTAATTAAAAATTAATGCTAATATTAAACTAATTGCAAATTTTCAAAATTTATTTTTCATTTAAAAAATCTTTTATAATTACATACCTGATAAAATTTTAAACATTTATAAAGACTGTATTTATCTGTTTTAGTTTTGTATTGTTCATCAATTGCATTTTCTAATTTGTAAAACTGAGTAATCTTCATCTTTCAGTTTCTTCTTAGAGTCTTCAATATTTTTCTCGATCCTCCTGAGGTTGACCTGTAATCAATTTCCTCTGCATCACCTTCACTGTCAGTTTCAGTTTCTGCAGCTCTTTTAACATTTTCTGTAATATTGTAGTCGGTGTTTTCATATGTTGTCTCAATATTATCATCAGTGGCAATGTATTCGAAAAACGAATCTTCGTAATTTCTGTCACCGATATTCAAAATATTAAAATAGCTTGCAATTCATCTATGGTTTCTTCTAAATAAAACCCAAATTTTTTAAAGCAATTTCTAACTGTATTTTTATAGATGCATTGAGATCTTGTATTGTCATTTTGTTGATGTGTTGATATGCATAGCCTCTTGCAAAGATATTGACTTCTTTGTCTCCTTGGAAGTGCTTGCCCGTAGGGGTAATTAATTTTTAAACTTTCCCACAGGCGTAATTAATGTTTTCTTTTTTTGTCTTCAGTCTGCTCTTCTAATGGCCACTCCCCTTTTCCGATCAAAAATTAATGTAAAATAATGCAAGAAAACATTTCATAATGTACACACTTAAGTTTGCAGGTGTTTCTGAGAACATCTGCAAACTTAATGTGGGTGTGCACTTCCATCCCCTATCAGCTAGCGTTCGAGAAAGGAAGCCAGTGTTCACCATCTTATCTTTAAAACTGGAAACACTCATTCATTTACAATCAAAAATTTTCTTTTCAATGCTTCTAGAAAACTACTTTTGCAATTATAAGATAGAGGTATTCTATCACTCTCAGTTGTAGTCCAGACAAAGAGCTTTGCAAACAGTGCCTGACAGAGACCAGGAATGAGTATCTAATATCCCCAAGGGGACTTGCGTCTCATTAAACTGTTCAAAATTTCTGCTAAACATATTTTATTTAGCATTACGTAACTGAAAAATAAATGAACGAGCTACAGATTTTATCAGCCACAAGCAGCTTGTTCTGGATCTGAAGAATCAGTCTTTTACCAGTTTGTATAAGTAATGAAGATGAGTTTAATAAACAACAGTTTTTTTAATTGGCTATTCATTTGTTTTGACTTCTGGAAAATTGTGTGAAATAAGTGGCTGAGCTTATTAACCAGTAAATTTAATAAGCAGCTGGTACTGTACATAACGTGTGATTTTTGTTTTAATCTTTAATTTGTTTTTAAATTACAATTAAATAAAATTTAATGACAACAATTACTGTAATTTCGCACGTATAGTCCGCACCATCGTATAGTCCGCAGACACGATTTTATATAAAAAAAAAAAAATTTAAATTGTCAGATAGTCCGCACCACTGAATAGTCCGCGGACTTACGTCCGAAATACGTTTTTTTAATACGGCAATATTCCCATGCTTTTTAAACACATCCTTTTGTTTGCACAAATTTCTCACCGCTTTCTTGTCCACTTCAAAATAACGGAGTAAAATCCTAGTATACGGTGCAGCCTTGGCGCAACTTTGAAAATTATCGCCAACACCAAAAATGATCCAAAGAACGTCTATATATATACTATACACGCATAGTATATGTATATACTATGTTTAACTATATATTTTCTATGAATGACCCGTTAACTACTCATTGTATACGTCCCGTTTTCACTGCTCATCATAAAGTCGCCAAAAGTAGTCAAATGCCGTGTGCACCGGATACTAGGATTGAACCAATAACGGCCCGCTTCTCTATTTCCATCTTTTTCAGTTTTCTCAACTACCTCTCAGCAGTAAATCTCCGGCAATGTTTCATCAACGTTATCGAAGATGAAAGACAAAATACGAAAACAAAATACTGTGCAACGTGCTATCCTCGTGATAAGTGGTAATGAAATGTGACCTTCGACCCCACTCACTCGGTGTTGCCATACTACGCTATAAGTAAACGAATCATGCTTTTTTTTCGTACTCCAGGTACTTGCTACTATGGCTCCTAAAAACCGAGCTGACGCATCAACTACTTTTCCACCCTCCCGGCAGTTGTGCTAAAGCATTGCGAAGGATACTTGGAATCTCGCGCTTTTTTTATATTTGATCATCGGCAGTTCACGACAGCGTGTTTTTTAAATTTCAACAATTTTAACCGTGAACAACCAGCGTATTATCCGCACTGATGGATAGTCCGCAGCTTCAAAAATTCGCATTTTAAACACAGATAGTCCGCGGACTATACGCGCGAAATTACGGTATATATTAACCTTTTGTAGTTTTTATGAACTTTCATTTATTTGACTAAATAAAAAATTAATAATATAAAAAGTAAGTATAATAGGGAGTATTTGCTTAGATCAAAATTTTCAATTGTCTTAACCTTAAATATACTTTTTTAATGAAATAATGCTTGTTATAATGTTTGACATATTTTAGATTCCAAGAGGCAAATGGTAATATTGTGCCAAAATACATCATAAATATATGTGAGGTAAATTTCCTTTCTTGCATTCCTTTTTTAATATATAACAAATAAGTATTACAAATAATTTTAGAGAAGTTGTAAATCTTATGTTTATATTTTAGACTTGCCGATTTTTCTTAGATGAACAATTTATTGAATCTGTATGTCATTGAATCTTTATTGCACAAGACACTGTATTTAATTTACAACATATTTTATTTATGTACAAAACACATCTCCCTCACATACATATGTACAACTCGAAAAACTGCACTTACAGTTTTTAGTTGCTTCGCATACTTGGTGATGCTTGATGTGCGCCAGTTCTAAGTTCACTTACGATTACTTGATAGACTGCATCCTCCCCCTTCATCACAAGTTCAGTTCGTTTGGGGGTCATCAAATTCTAGTGCACCCACGCAAAAGGTTGTGGCACAGCTGGCTTCTTTGGTAACCTGGTTGTATCAACAGCAGGACGGTTATTCTACGCTACGAGAGTCGACAGCAAGTTGTGGGCCGCCAGATGTCGCTGCTAGTAAAAAACAGGTCTGCCCGACATCCTATATTCTCTGAGTACGGAAGTTGTCGAAAGCGCGTGAAAAAGTGTTGCCGCATCGTCAATCAGGGTTGTGCAGTTGACGTACTAAGTAGACAATGGCTTTGTATGTGTTTTCGCTGCTGATTTTTTCATATTTAAACGAAGAATACGGTCGTAGATCTCTGAATCGGTGGCGAATTTATAGAAAATATATTGATGCTTTTGCTCTGCCAAAAGATGTTTTCATTGCGTATTTCAGATTGCCAAAATTTATAGTTACTTTAATTTGCGATGAACTGAGAGAGTATTTGGAGCCACATTCAGAAAACAAGAACGCAATTTCTACTGAAAGAAAAGTTAATACTATTCCAGAAATTATAGATATAAATTGTAATTGTATGCTTTAAAAATGTAGAAGATAATAAGTTTATCAAGCACATAAACTTTCTTTATTTAACACAAATATAGACATCCGATAAGCTTCTACTCTTTATGTACAGCAAGAATTACGTTTACTTTAAAATCTAACAGTTGAATACCTTACGAATAATACTGCGAACACAAAAAGGAATGTCGTTCATTATTACGCGAAATTCACACTACTGTAAAATAAAAATTTAAAAAAAAAAAAATTATAAAACTATAAAATAGCTTTATAATATCTTTTTCAGTAGCTGTACTACTACTAGTGTGATACTTTCAAAAATAAGTTTTAGCTCAGATGGGCTATTAATTTCGTTTTGCCATTTTGTGGCGTTTCACTTTTCAAACTCGTTGCCACCAAGATATTATCGCACTTGCTATTATATTTAAAGAAATTAAATAATGAGGAATCTGCAGAATGTATGATATGTTTCTCGCACTGTGATAATAAGAACGGTACCTAGAGCCATGAAATTCTTGCAATGATACGTAATCCTTCCATCCTAATATAGGCATATGGAGGCCCAAATTTGGAACTGAGAATTGTTTTATTATCTATTTCATATTTTGTAAAGCATTTATGAGTATTTTATTAAGAAACCCTTGACGATTTCAAAGCCAGCAATGGCAACATTGTACTAGAAAAAAACACTTTTATCATCCACTAGCGCGGGAGATTATGTATCGGAAAATTCTAAAGACATAATGCTTTTTTTAAATATATTTGTGATATTGCTGTTGAATTGAATTTTATGGTTTAAGTGCGAAAAACACGATATTTAATAAATAAAGATAACACGCAAAACGTTTAAATAATGGCCCTTTGGAAGTAATATAAAATCTGAAGGCTTTCAGATTTTATTAATTTATTTATTTATTTATTATTATTTGTGTGTGTGTGTTGTTTGTGTGTAATTTTATTACGTTTTAAAAAACTGGTTTCTAAGTGAGGACTTTCTAAGGGAAACTGGCTCGTATACAAGTTACACATGTGAAAAAGCCACGAGAACGCCGGCTAGCTCGTTCCCGGGATTCAAACCTCGGACCAAACTACCTGCGTTCAGCGACTCTACCGCTCGGCAACTGGTGGGCTTGTTAGTAGAATTATACTGCATTATTATTGTATTATGCTATAAAGTAACAATGCTATAAGACTGAGGGTTTGTTCATGGAATAGTACTTTTGTAACCTATTATAGTATTAAAAAATCATTGTTTCTTTGCAAAGTTTAACAAACAAAAAAAAAAAAAAAAAAAAAAAAAAAAATACTGTTCATAGCATTCTCATTTTTATATTGTAAAAGAGATATTGATTATTATTAGTTTTCTATTTAAAATGTGTCGAAACGCTGGCTTTGACAAGGACCTTCAACTGCAAGAGACCTACACTGATTATTTTTACTTTAGTACTTACATTGTGAAAATATTACTATCTTTTAATTATTTTCACAAAATAAAATCTTTTGAGAAGGAAGAATATTTAAACTGAGCAGTTCTTTATATATATATAAAATTCAAGTAACAGCAATGTAATATTAAAAAAAGGTATTAGTAATTGTGTGACAAAAAATTGCAAAACGAATTAATCACACATACAGGATAGATTAGTTTAATTTTGGTTATATATTTTATATTGAAAAAATATTTTCTTTCATGTTAATTATAGAATAAATTATTTAAAATAAAGCATTTTGATGCGTGTGTGATAGTTGAATGCAGCAGCAATCGGCCATACTGTAATAGCGAATGAATTTTATTTCTTTTCCTGAAAGAAATAATTTTCATAGTAAAAGAAAATTAAAAAAAGGAAGAAATATTAAGAAAAAAATATTTTCTTTCTAATTTATTATGTAAAGAAATATTTTTCCAATAGTAACTGTAAAATAAATTGCGGGAAAACAGCATGGAAAAAAAAAAAAAAAAAAAAAAAAAAAAAAAAACTAGTTTGCTGTTAGATTGTAATGCAAATTAATCATATTATAAATTTAAATGATTAAAATTGTTTATTTCTAAAAGGATTTGAAGTAAGCTTAATTCATTTACTTTTATCTATTTACCATTGCTTTCGTGGTATCCCATATCACTCTTTATTTCTTAGCTCTAAATTCCTGCGTTAAGTTTCCCCTTAAAAAACGGAATTTTCCTTCACATAACACAGCAGCATATTCCACTGCGTGTTGGTCATAATACTGTTTTGTGCAATTTTTTTTGAACTACAATTGCAGCGTGTGAGTTAGTGAAATAATAGGAGAATATTCCTAGAACTTCAGCCAGCGCGCGCTATAAATTTCGTCACTCGTCTGTACTGCGATTGATCTAAAGTTCCTTGAAGCCTTGTCCCCTTTCAGTAAAGTTAAATGGACCCACCCGCCCACCAACTGAGGACCACAGAATGGCTTTCTCCGATAAGTTGTTGATGGCTGTCCATACCGGTTTCTTTGAGTCAATATTGTTCGCTTAAGTTGTAGGCAGATCCAGTGATCATAGAATAGGCATCCAGGTCTGGTGGATGGAACTTGTGGTAAATCTTGGGCTTGGAAGATTACACAGACTTATCCATCTGGTGACTATTATCTTTGGATGGTTCTGAAACTCCACTCTTATCCACTTCTTTGGAAATCATGAGAGCTGGAAGAGGACGTCTGCAGCCATCAATTATGGTTCCTCCATCGCACATCTGGTCAATATGTTGCTGCCATAACTGACTGCCTACATTTATAGTGTAATGTATCTGTCCATCCTTGGATTGAACGTACCAAATCTCCACTGTCTGCCACCCTGTATCCTCAATCTGCAAAACTCGTAGGCTCCTTTTTGAACTCTGTCTTCTACCCTTCCTTTGAGATATGGTCTCATATTCAGACAAGTCAATTCTTGTTCGAATTTCCATCTTCAGCATCAGCATTACAAGACTCTTCTAGAGCAGTTAAATTCGGAGACTTTCTATATTGCTTTAAAAATGTACTAAGTTTTTGCCTCAAAGTTCCTGGATAATTTTACATGGTTCTTAAAGATTGTTTTATTGTAAACACATACCGTTCAGCCTGCCCATTACTAGATAGCTTAAATGGTGCTGTAGTTTTATGTTTGATTCTGTTACTCTGTAGGAATATCTTAAATTGATGGGAAGTGAACTGTGACCTGTTATCAGTCACTAACAATATTGGTAATCCAAAGTGTGCAAAAAAGTCCTGTAAGCATTCCATTGTTTTAAAAGCTGAGCTTCATTTCATTTGTTAGGCTTCTAGCCATTTTGAGTGAGCATCAATGATTATCAAGGATATATGCTCAAAAATAGGTCTTGTATAATCGATGTGAATATATTCCATTAGAGCACTCGGGTACTCCCAATGATGAAACATTACCTTATGAGGATCTATTTTATGTTTAGCACATTCAAAACAGTTTTTGGAAATATTTTCGATATCCTTATCTATACTATTTCAAAACACTAGCAACTGCTTTCATCTTTATAGTCCCCTAAGTGTCCGTGATGCAACTCGTTTTGGAATACAAATGCACTGGCCATACATTATAAAGCCATCTTGGAGACTGTATTCCATCTCCCTTCCTTTCAATTCACTGCTGCTTTAAAGTATATATAGCAGAGGGCTGTGTTTTGCATCAATTTCAGTTTCTTTAGCCAAATTTCTGGCAGTGACTAGAAGAATTTCACTTTGCTATAATTAAAAAATATTTAACATCATCCGGAGTAGAGAGCTGCTCTGAGTTTTTTTGGTAATTTTATTAGAAATTCAGCATTGCCATGATCGTTTGTTTTACATTAAATAATCTCGAGTTGGAATGACTGTAAAGCCAGGGCATAGTACAAGAGTCTTTTCCTGCCAAAACTGGCATGGCTTTCTTTGAGCCAAAAATTGCAACAAGAGGTTTATAATCTGTAATTAATGTAAATTTCCTGCCTTTTAATTAGAAAAATTTTTTTTTAAATTCCCCAGATGATTGACAAGGCTTCTTTATCAGTTTGAGAATACTTTCACTCTGTTTCAGTGAGTTCTAAAAGCACATGCAATTGGCCTTTCCATTCCATCAGGAAGTTTTTGAGAAACTACTGCACCTAACTCCACTGGTGATGTACTGTTTGCCTATGTTAAGGGCAATTTTGGATCATAATGTATCAAAACTTAATTCCGAAGTCAAACAACAAAAATCAGCGTTATATTTTCAAAATTTTCACAGGACTAGTTTCGATGTTTTTACCGAACCACCATTCTCAGCTGCAAGCCTTTAAAGAAATTATGTTTTAGTTCTGGTTTCACCAACAGATGGCACCACTTGCTTATTCTTGTCCAGGGTTTCTTATCTTATCTAATCATTATTTCCTATCTTGTTCATTTGCGGTTTTGCAGCTGAGAATGGTGGTTCGGTAAAACCATCGAAACTAGTCCTGTGAAAATTTTGAAAATATAACGCTGATTTTTGTTGTTTGACTTCGGAATTAGTATTTATTCGGCGTGTTATTGTGTCTTAAGTATCAAAACTTTTTGTAAACACAGTTATTTTTTAATCTTTATAAAAGCCTCTTGACAATCCTTTATCCAAACCATTTTGAGTCTTTCTTAATTAAATGGTATAAGGGATTTGCGATCTTTGATAAATCTGGAAATATTTCTCATAAAAATTAACTAATCCCAAAAAACTTTGAATTTCTTGGACATTCCTGAGTGTCGTGGCTCTGGCAATCGCTGATATTTTTTCATCACTTTTATGTAAACCATAAGCATCAATATTATGACCTAAAAATTATCTGATTCTGAAAAATTTTACTTTTCTCAAGTTAATTTTAGTTTATGAGTTTTACATTTTTAAGAAAATTTTTAAAGTATGTGAATGTGCACCATCATCAGACCCTGTTATTTGCACATCATCCATGAAGACTTTACTCCCTTTCATTACTTGGAATAGTCCGTCAATGTAATGATGCCAGATTTTATCTCCAGCACACAGAAATGTGTATCGGAAATTCTAAAGCTATGCTCATTTTAAAATTATTTTTTGACATTGCTTTTGAACTGAATTTGATGGTTTAAGTGCAAAGAACATGATATTTAATAAATAAAGGTAACACACAAAACGTTCAAAAAACGCTCCTTTGAACGTAATTTAAAATCTAAAACCTTTCAGATTGTTAGTCCAAAGGGGCTTTGTCCCTGAAAGACTTTTTTTTTTTTTTTAATTTTTACTTTCCACATCCGTTACCAGCTTGTAATATATTTATTTATATACAAAACACACCCTCACTCGCATACACGTGTACAACTCCAACGAACTGCATTGTAAATAGGCAGTGCGATGCTTGCCGTGTGCCAGTTTTAAGGCCGATTACGATTACTCGATACACTACACCTATAAAGAACTATTAGTCATTCATACCTAGGTATGTGAATAATACAGTGAAACTGTGTAGTTTATGTCTGACTGAAAACAACTAAGAGTTTATAGAATATCAATCATAAAATATTGCAGAAATTAAATATTGGTGAAATGATGTATTTTAGAAGTGATATATTTAGCTTGCTTTAATCAGAATTTTACAGAAACAATTAATTTAGCTTGCTTAAGGGAAGAATCATGCATATTCAAATCAGAAGTTTTATGAAATTTGCCAAAATATATGTTACATTTTCAGTTTTCAGAACAACTTGAAAACATTTTGTTCAAAAAACATTTATTAAAAATTAGTATGTACAAACTTGACCAAAACATAATGACTATATTTAATGAACAAACTGCTTAAAAAAGTGATGTGATCCCAGCTTAAAATAATGTCAAAGCCTAGTATTTACATAAGTTTCTGCTACAGAAATTATTTTAATTGAATCAGAGTTTGATTCTTTGCTCCTTCCTACCCGTGACTACAAATATCAGTCTTATGCTACTGAAACCAAACCTTTTCTTGACTGAACCTTTCCTATCCAAATTAGTACTTGATTGCATAATCTGTGGACTGTAGACTCATAGGACTCATATACCACATCTGACAAAGAATAATGTATGTCCAGCTTGCAAGTAATTTTCTGTCATAGTTTATGAGTTTTATTTAATTTACGTAACAGTTATTTTATATTTCAGATCCTTACTGTCACTTCTTGCTTTCTGTTTTCCTGTCTGTGTTAGGTTGCATGTATGTAAGTGAAGGCTTGAGATTGTTAAGTCAGAGTGTCTTCTACCATTTGAAGGCCACGTTACTAGGTTTTACTATTCTATAGAAGAGATCCTGCCTTAGATGTTGCGTCTTGCTGATAGTTCATATTCATGATGGTGAATTCAAAGCCAACTTCGTGATTAAATTGCTCTGTGTAGCTTTTGGCTATCTATTTAAATTTAGTCATGCATTTGAATTTTCACTTTTAAGTTTCTCCCCATAAGTGCTCATCATATTGAGTTTAAAAATAAAAGGGTCTTTTTACACCTTTCTAAAGTGTCTGTACTTTAATTTTAGACATGGTGATGAGTTGCTTTAAGTCTAACGAAAAAGTGAAGTCACATTTTATAAGTTAAAAGATATTAAACTTTATAAGTTCATTGTATAAATGATATTTATGGATCATTTTTGCAAAATAAATATTTTGATCATATTTATTCTCATTTAGAATGTTAGATAACACACTCTGAAATATCTGGTTTTTTCTTTTGTATCACATTTTTCTTCCATGTTTGCTTGTGTGAACACTCTTGTAAATTTAATTTGCATGTAATTGTAAAATAAATAGTTTAGTATAAACAAATAGTTTATAGTAAGAGATGTAACCAGTATTATGACTTGACATTATTAGTTACATCATGAAGTTCCATATGTATAACTGAATTTTCTACTAAATTATCTGATTTTTTCCTCAATTTGAAAAAATTTACCTGTTTTCATATTTACCTTTCACCTTCTCACTTTTTATGATTGTGTTTTTATGACTGTGAAAGAGAAATTAATAAAAATTCATGTTTCTGCAATTAGATAGCTGAAAATCATGATGTTGTGGTAAATTGCTCGGGTCTTGGTGCCAAACAGTTATTGAAAGATAAAATGCTGATTCCAGTCCGAGGGCAAACAATAAAAGTTAGAGTTTTTTTAACTTATTTTTTATTTTAATGTTTGCATTTTGTTTTGCATCTGTATTCTTGCTATATCTTAAAATATTTAAATAAGCCATCGGATTTAAAATTCACCTACAGCATCTAATTTTTATTTTCATAGTAATAAAATGAAATTTTGTAAAATTTTTTATGTAGTTATAACATAATGTGTGTGTGATTATGGCAAAGCCTCAAGGAGGGATGCCTTCGTGGAAGACTTCCTAAGGGAAACTGGCTCGTATACACGTTACACATGGGGAAAACCACAAAAACGCCCATGCAGCCAGCCCGTTCGCGGGATTCGAACCTCGGACCGAACTACCAGTGTTCAGCGACTTTACCGCTCGGCCGCTGGTGGGCATATAACATAATGAAAGAAGGAAGTATATGAGATAGTTTGTTTTAAAGAAACAATAAGAATAATATGTTGGGTGTTTTCAAATTTTATCGACAAATTCATAGGGTGATAACAGACATCAAGAGGATGAAAAATAAAAATTGCCTTAGAACCTGGGGTTGCAAACCATGTTTAGTGGTAGAAAATTGTAAAAAATAGTTATGAAGTGTGTGATGTCGGAATAAAAGAGACCAGTAATAAGCAGAAAAAAATTATTCGATGTAAAAGGCAGTTTTATAGGAATTGTTCAAAGTTGTGGCCCGAAGGTCATTGCACAGCTGACACTGACGGACGAAGGATTGTTGATGTTCAAACATAACCGGTGTGCTGCTGATGTCTGCTGAAATGATGATGATCATTTCTGTAAGATCTTCCAGTATATCCACAGGTGTCTGATATTTGACAGATTGAGGTCTGGGGAGCACGGAGGCCAAGCAACAAGTCTGCTGTATCCAGTCAACTCACAAGACATGTAGTATAAATATGGTTATGCACCACAGTCGCAAAATGTGCTAAAGTACCATCATGTATCGACTACTTATTTTGGCACACAGTGGCCGGTATTCCATGCATCAAATCTGGGAGAATGTGCTGTAGGTAATTTGCTTCATTGAGGCATTCAGACAGAAAGCACGAAACTCTGTTGATATATTTATCTCTAAAACTAAATTTTTACGTTTCTCAAGAATATATTAAAATCATTTTCTGTTGGCTGCAATAAAGAAAGGCATACTTCTGTCTCCAAGCAGGTGACTTTGTAAACAGTTACATATAATTTTTACAAACAGTTATATACAGTATGGCAAAAAATTCCTTACTTATTATTTTTCATGCAATATTAAATTCCATGCAGATATAAAAATTTTAAATAACTTTGCTTAAAATGCTATTGTTTCTCACCACACTGTACTGATTTATCATTTGATGGCCTATCTTTTAATAACTAATACATTTTGTTTATTTGATGCATTCTTTTTGTTTTTTAAATTTATATAACTGATAAATTTATATAACTTGTGTGTTGTCCTACAATATAAAATATCCCATTGTTAATAGGATTTATGTTTTTATTATATAAAATTTGTGATCTACTTCCTTGTTTGTTTTTCTCCCTAGCTTCTTAGAACCAGGTTTTGAAAGTTTAAAAAAATATTCGCATAATTTTCCCTTATTCGATTTAGAGAACGAGCTTCCCTTAATTTTAAAAATGGTTTCATTCAAGTAGTAAATTGTTTTCATCTTACTAACAAATGCAAACCCTTGCAAACTAAGGTCACACCAAGAAGCTAACATGACCTGACATTCAGTCTACAATTTTATTCAGTCAACTGCACGTTCGCCTTCTGTAATTATTTATATGTAATTCGAGACCTAAGGAGTAGCAAATACTAGAATGGGCTACACTCAAATTATAGGGAAGTAGATATTGCAATTTTAATATCATTATGTATTTGTATTGAAATGTATCTTTATTTTAAAGAAATCAAATTATAATAACAGCATTTAATTTTTCCATGACAACTTTTAAGTTTTTACAGAAGTTGCTTAATTCAGAGATTAAATTATTCACATAATTTTCTCTGCTTGATTTCAGATGATATCTGGTTATAATGAATGTTTTCTGCCAAATAACATTTTTAATAATGTCAGAAAAAAGAACATGAAACCTTTAGTGCGGGTAATAATCACCACCCAAATCTATGATTTTATGCCAACGTTTTGGTAGTTTTTTCAAAGCCTTTGGCACAGAAACTTGGTGACTACTAGTCTAAAAATAGATCAACCTCATATTTCAAACATCTTTTGAGAATGGAAGATAGCACCAGAAAGATGTAGCTGCAGGTGTGTAAAAAGGTAGAAGTCCAAAGGAGTAATGCCATAGTTATATCGTGGGTGTGGCAAAAGATCCCATTCAAGTGAGTACAGAGTCCAGCCGGTGAATGCAGACATGTATGGTCTTGCATTATCTTGATGGGACATTACTTTTTTGTGCTGGTATTCAGTTCAGTGTTTTTCCATGATAGCAGCATCAACACGGTCTAGGATCTCATTGTATATCTTAGTGTCAAGGATTTTACTTTTTTCCAGATAGTCTTTTGTAGATAATATTGTGGCAATCCCACCAGATACAAAGCATGATCTTTTTGTTAGCCAAATTGTGGTTTGCCTTGCTGCTGATGGGCTCACTGAGCACAGACAAACATCCCTTTCAGCTTGTCTTGGAGTAAATCCACTTTTCATCACAAGTGATAATCTGGTCCAGAATTTGCCCTTGCATTGATATTTGAGCAGATTAGTGCAGGCCTGAACATATCAACATATCTATCCTTATCTGCTTGAGTCAGCTCATGCGGCACCCAGCGATTGAACTTGTACGTCAAGTTTATGTGATGCATAGTGGAACTAATGGACATGACACTAGCGTCTAACTCCTTAGCAAGCTCTTAAGTGGTTGCATGCTGATCTTCTTCCACAAGTTCTCACAGATGGGCCTTATCAACATCAGTAGCCTGACCAGAGCACTCTGCTTCTTGAATGTCATAGTTCTTGTTTTTGAACTTTCGGTCCAAATCTTCACAGTGTTATATTATGCAACAGTAGTATCTAAAGCTGTACATGCCAATGTGAACTATTTGCACAGACAATATTTGTGGTGATGGGAAACTTTCATTAAAACCTGATAAATTTAGTAAAGGGGGAAAGAAAATGCTTGAGGAAATCCGGTAATAATTTGCTGCTACTAATAATTTATTAACTTTTCAAAACCCATAACTACTCTTAATTTATATGAACAATTTCCTATGTAGAATGTTAAACTAATGTAAATGGAACATGATTTTACATGTTGAAATTTCTTCCCTAAAATTATCCTATTGTGCATCTTCATTTTCCTTTATGATTTAATGGTGCTTCGTGCTTTATCGTTACTTTTACGTATCCTCATCAGGTAACTCAGAGGGCTTCAATATGCTATTCTTTTTTAATATGGCAAGTGTTTACAGCTAATTTTTATTTATACGAATAAACAAGTTTGCTAGTTTTAATCTAATTGATTTTTATGTTTCAATTTTAATTTTTTAAAATCGTTAAATAAGCAGATTTATTACATTCACTTGTTTCTCTTTTTTACATTTCAGTCTTTCTGAAACTGTATTTTTTCAAATTTTTTTCAACATGTTTCTTAATTATGTTTTTATATTGGTACCTTAGAATCAACAAAATGAATTTAAACTTTTTAAAACATATTTCAGATTACTATTAATTATATTAGAATTAACCTAAACAGTTTGTCTTAAATTTTCCACAAAAAAACCAGACACTAAACATTTTTTTTGTTTGTTTGGTTGTTTCTTTGAAATTGAACTTTTTTTTTTTTTTTTTTTGTTGTTTCATCATTATTCAAAATGAATAAACGGTCCTTAATTTTGCTCATTTGACATTTCTTATCATTTCTAATGATTGCCATTCTATGTGTGAATTTGCACAGCTCTTAACCAATCTGTTGGCGGATTTGCGTTGCAAACGATAAAAAAAAAAAAAAAAAAAAAAAATTAGCTACCCGAACGAAAGTATCGGTGTCTGATTGGCTATTCACCCAATCTTTCGAAACAGGTGTTATCCATAAATTTAGGCAGATTGTGACGAAAGCGTGAAGCCGGAAGTTCTTTAAGAGGCGAAAGTGATGATGAAGGTGCTCGAGAAAAAAAAAAGGGGGGGGATTCTGAAAATATTTGCCAAAATTAGAGCAATCCCAACCTGGAAGGCCACAACCCTTCCGACGCCAATAGGAACGAGATGCCTGGAAAGTGCATTTTCAATAAACTGTGGCTTCATCAAGCTGACTACAAAGACTGGATATTGATGGATGACAATCCTTATAAAGCTAAATGTGGTCTTTGTCTGAAACAAATTGAAATTTCTAGAATGGGAGAGTCAGTGCTGAAAATTCACATGAAAATTAAGTTTCGTTTTATCATTTCAATTTGTTTTTACACGGTTTTGCTTAGCTTAATTTCTGTGTTTGTTTCAATTAAGCCATAAATTAATTTTTTATCACCTTCTACGGAGTTTATTCTCTTTTGCACATACTATATGTATGGGATATCGGGATTATGAGTTTATTTCTGCAGAGGGTCTGTTATCGATTTCGCGGGAAATCTGTTGGCTCCATTTCGATTTTAGGTCGCCAAGGGCAAATTCGGTAACGCTAGCCGAGAAAAAGTGAAGTTCGGAAATACGTTTTGAAGCTTCAATAGACAATTAAGTATTTGGTTTAAATCCTATGCTGTTGATAGTAATGCATTATTTTTGCTAATGGCGATACAATTATTAGTTGAAAAAACTAACTAATTAAAAATTTTTTAATATTTTTAAAGCTGAAAACAACTAATTGAAACTAATTTTCCTGAATTAACTAGACGCAAAATTAACTTTCATGAATTACTAAAGTTATTGGGTAGAAGTTTAACTGAAAATATACATTCCGTATTATATATATATATATATATTTATACAGTACAAAGTCCGAGGTCGGGACTTCGGCGATCCCAGATTTGAGATTTTTCCGGATATTAGATCATTTTAAA